CATGTTCGGTCTGCTGAAGCTCATAGGGTCAACAGGGCCCCAGACATGAACCTAGTAAGTCGGTCATGAGACCTTTCATAAAAAGGATAAGCAAGCTCATTTCTAGCCTGACTTATAACTAATTTTTCAAGCTAGCTGAGCCTCAAAGCGGCACACCTATTCTTTTACGGTCCGATGAGCAGGTCGCAATCAACTAGTTGCCGCCAGCGTTTTGCTTGCAACACTGCTCAGTCTCTTCCTGACCTTGGCATGCCATGGATTTTCGCCGCGTGGAATCGAAGTATTGGAAGCATGCCCTATGCTGGCAAGCGGCATTAACCATTTGCCTGTTGAGCTTTCTCGTGTACCAGATCTTCGCGATCAGTACTTCAGCCAGCACTCCACCGGTCGAATCAACAGTTGAGGCATGGCAAGGAGCAGGCATATGGGCTGTGTGCGGAGGTACACAGTTGCATGCAGCCGGCTTCACGATCTTTGAAGGCGATCGGGAATCCCGGAAAGAGGTTGAGAAGACTTTTCCTTTTCAGATGAATGCATCTGTGCGGCCTGGCACAGAATGCAGCAAAATTGACTTGACAGAACTGAAGTGGGACACAGAAGTCCAACTCAGACTCTGCGGTCAGTCAGACTCCACAGGACAATCGTTCTACATATGGAGCAATGACCGATGGAAGTATGTCGGACACCTTCACCGAAAGGGCGAAAAGGCCCTGTACTCCTATCGGAGAAGCAAACATGGGTGGAACTATGGGTATTCATCCGAAGCGAAGGAGTATCATGATCTTATCGAAGAGGACCGGTGGCCGGCAGACTGGACGGGACCGGACGGTGGATGCAAGCATTGGACCTACTTTGGCACTGGCAGATCTACTCCAGGTGGTGTGTTTGTCAGCATTCAAACACCAGTCGTACCAGTCAGCTACAAGCAAGGCTTGTTGCCCCAGATCTTTAAGCTTGGCGGTAACATTGGTGGCTGGTGGTCAGTGATGACATTGGCCTTTTGTGCCCTGTTCTCCAAGAAAGATCCTGACAGTCCGGTGGCTCAAATCTATGAGGCACGCACCTTTGTAGGCGAGCGAGTTCTATCCAAGTATCCTTCGTCCCCCCCCGGCATTATTCCGTCGACGGAATAGTCGCAAGGTTTCTTACTCGGCTACTTCTCAGTGATGCAGCCGCTCCAGTTTTCTCAATGTTCAGGGGCAGTGCTTGCGGTGAGCGTAAATCGACACCCAGGACCTGCTCAGGACAAGTGATGGGCATGGTGGGTGTGGTGTATTGATCGCTTGAGTGCATCATCCATCACAGCCTGCTGTGACTAGAGTTTGTAACACCTATCTGTGCTAACACAGGGCTCAAGTCCATGAGTGTGGCAAACCTGTTTCAGTCCCTGCCGAAAAAAAAAGGAGTTGCTGCGACACTTGCAAGCAGCATTGACCCCGCAGAGACCGCGTGCATTCAAGAGTCGCTTGCTTTCGTGGTGCAGCTGAGAGGGTTTTTGCCCGGCAGGGGTTGGAGAGTATACGAAGAAACGAAACCTTAAAGCCCTAATGTTTGCGTGAATGAACCCCCAAACCTCAGGCCCCGAAAGCCTGAAGCCTGTTCAACCTACTTCTATACGTGCCCACGGCGCACTGAGTTAGGTTGCCCATCTTCGAACTTTTTGCCTCATTTGGCTTATCGATTTGATGCGGTTTAAACATTAATGTAGGGGCCTTAATAAT